ACACTCACCATTCTACCTAACCCTGACTGTTACCTATAATCTTTATACCCCATAACACTCACCATTCTACCTAACCCTGACTGTTACCTATAATCTTTATACCCTATAACACTCACCATTCTACCTAACCCTGACTGTTACCTATAATCTTTATACCCCATAACACTCACTATTCTACCTAACCCTTGGGGGGCACTTGCTCATAACAAACAATGCACTATACTACTCTATACATAGCACCTGTATACATAACTTGTTTATTTTTGGCGTTTAAATTTTTGGGGAATTTGTTTCCCCAATTTCAAAATTCTTATAGCTAGTATGTTATATTTGATTAGTATTCTGTTTTAATTAGATATTGCTTTGATTTTTAGATATGCTGAACTTCTTCAAGGCCCTTTTCATGAGTTAAGGCTCTTCTCTGAACCCTTTCAGGGTCAAGGGTCTTCTCATAGATGCCTCAGAGTCAAGTTTATCTCCATATAAGCCATATCTGAGTCAAGTCACTTCTCCAAAGCCAAGTCTCGAGTCAAGTACTTCTCTCCTCTTATAGAGTCTAGCTGTTTATTTTGTCTTCCTGGCTCCTCCCAACACCATTAAGAGTCAAATCGCTTTTCTGTCTTTCAGGGTCAAGTGATTTCTCTTGTTCAGAGTCAAGCTATATTTATATTCCACGCACTTTTCTAATTCCACAGAGTCATAATTTTTAATTAGATGTTAATTAGATGTTAATTAGGTGTTAATTAGGTGTTAATCAGATGTTAATTAGATGTTAATTAGGTGTTAATCAGATGTTAATTAGATGTTAATCAGATGTTAATTAGGTGTTAATTAGATGTTAATTAGATGTTAATTAGATGTTTATGAGTGAGTGGTCACTGTTTACAGCAAAATTTATGTTGCATAGCTCATGATTTCCAGCCTCTTTTGTACTTCTTGCTATGAGTTTCCTTTTTTTTTTTGTATAAGCTGACTCATCCTTAAACTTTCTCCCTAATTTGTAGTCTGTAGTTTATCATACCCAATGTGTAAGATCAACATGCACGTTTGCAACAGCCCACCAGCATAGAAATATGTATTGTATGAAATCTTTTATGTTTGAAGTTAAGACCTTACACCTGCAGTGAAGAAGATGTGTTTGAATTGAACACAACACTTGACAGTTCCCTGTGAAAATGTCAACCAGTCCTTTAATCCATTGAATTCCAAACATAAAAACATAGTGTAACAGTCAGCATGAGAGAGATATATAAGACCTTTCACTGGTGAGATCTATTTTGATTCGCTGCACCAAGGTATTTAGTCTCTATTTCTTATAGCTATTTTACACACAACTGTACACTGCATACCTTAAAATCAATCTGTTGAATGATTCTAACTGCGCATTAAACACATACATACCATTGTCTACCCCAGGTATAGACAAGACACTTAGAATACCTATATACCCAAGGAATAGACAAGACACCTACAATACCTATATACCCCAGGTATAGACAAGACATCTACAATACCTATATACCCCAGGTATAGACAAGACACCTACAATACCTATATACCCCAGGTATAGACAAGACATCTACAATACCTATATACCCCAGGTATAGACAAGACACCTACAATACCTATATACCCCAGGTATAGACAAGACATCTACAATACCTATATACCCCAGGTATAGACAAGACACCTACAATACCTATATACCCCAGGTATAGACAAGACACCTACAATACCTATATACCCCAGGTATAGACAAGACACCTACAATACCTATATACACCAGGTATATATACACCAGGTATAGACAAGACACCTACAATACCTATATACCCCAGGTATAGACAAGACACCTACAATACCTATATACCCCAGGTATAGACAAGACACCTACAATACCTATATACACCAGGTATAGACAAGACACCTACAATACCTATATACACCAGGTATAGACAAGACACCTACAATACCTATATACCCCAGGTATAGACAAGACATCTACAATACCTATATACTCCAGGTATAGACAAGACACCTACAATACCTATATACCCCAGGTATAGATATGACACCTACAATACCTATACCCCAGGTATAGACAAGACACCTACAATACCTATATACCCCAGGTATTGACAAGACACCTACAATACCTATATACCTCAGGTATAGACGAGACACCTACAATACCTATATACCCCAGGTATAGACAACACACCTACAATACCTATATACCCCAGGTATAGACAAGACACCTACAATACCTATATACCCAAGGTATAGACAAGACACCTACAATACCTATATACCCAAGGTATAGACAAGACACCTACAATACCTATATACCCCAGGTATAGACAAGACACTTACAATACCTATATACCCCAGGTATAGACAAGACACCTACAATACCTATATACCCAAGGTATAGACAAGACACCTACAATACCTATATACCCCAGGTATAGACAAGACACCTACAATACCTATATGTCCCAGGTATAGACAAGACATCTACAATACCTATATACCCCAGGTATAGACAAGACACCTACAATACCTATACCCCAGGTATAGACTAGACACCTACAATACCTATATACACCAGGTATAGACAAGACATCTACAATACCTATATACACCAGGTATAGACAAGACATCTACAATACCTATATACACCAGGTATAGACAAGACACCTACAATACCTATATACACCACGATAGACAAGACATCTACAATACCTATATACACCAGGTATAGACAAGACACTTACAATACCTATATACCCCAGGTATAGACAAGACATCTACAATACCTATATACCCCAGGTATTGACAAGACAGATACAATATCTATATACCCCAGGTATAGACAAGACATCTACAATACCTATATACACCAGGTATAGACAAGACACCTACAATACCTATATACCCCAGGTATAGACATGACACCTACAATACCTATATAACCCAGGTATAGACAAGACATCTGCAATACCTATATACCCCAGGTATAGACAAGACATCTACAATACCTATATACCCCAGGTATAGACATGACACCTACAATACCTAAATACCCCAGGTATAGACAAGACACCTACAATACCTATATACCCCAGGTATAGACAAGACACCTACAATACCTATATACCCCAGGTATAGACGATACACCTACAATACCTAGACTGATATAAAGGTCCCTTCTAAACATGGAAATCATTTCATATGTCTACTACATATCAAACAGATTATATATTCCCTAATGACTGTAACATTTGATCTATTCTATTTGAACACAGAAAATTACTTTTGACTCAGAATATCTTTTAATGATGTTGATTCAGATATTTTTTGTTTTATAAATTTATAAGTAAATGTCAAAGAAATATTTTTGGATATTGATATATATATCAATAATTCTGCGTGCTGATAACCTTATCTAAAATTCCTTAATAAATATCAAGACTACTGTAATACTACCGTCGTGAATTTCCTGTAAGTCTGTGGAGGTAGGGCTCCACTGTAATTATCCAGAATCAATATATTTAAAAAAAAAAACAAGGTCAGTCAATTCCAATAGCATATTGAATCTTTTAACTTTGTGTAAAAAAATAAACTGAACTTGTGATCTGTCTATAATATTATAAATGTGTTGAAAGTCCTCCAGGAAAAAGTCAATTTATAGACTAGTGGGCCAATACACACACCAAAGATCAATCTCAGTGTGCCTGACAGTACTTTGTGTGTCTATTCAGGAAGACTTTATAGGACCTTATGTAAACAGACTTTAGTCAATGTCTTTCGAATGTCAATATTTGCAACCTATTATTTAAAACATATACCTGTTTGAATGTCGAAGTATGAGGATTTTTTTTAAGATCTGCTGTAACAATGGCTCAGAAGCGTTTTGAATGTAAGGTAATGTAATACACTATCTAGAAGATGTGCTCGATATTTGACCAATGATTTTGATTGGTACATTACACTCATTATGATTGGCAGACAGTTTTGTGTTTCTATATATAGTATACAATATCATTTTGCCCATCAGATGTTCTTCAGAGGTAAAACTTGAAAAAAATACCAATACATAGAGGATAATCAACAAGGCGTTCTTGTATACGGTATCTGGGTATGTCTTTCAATCAAATTTGTCATAAAAAAAATAAACGAAAGTGAAAGAAATACCATATATAGCAACCAGAAGTTTGTGTGACCTGGCCCCACTTGTATAAAACATCTCAACTTGAGATTTCCTCAAGTCGAGATTTTCCTCAGCTGATATCTCCTCAAAAACGGCTTGTATAAATTTTTCTCAAGGAACAGGAGGAAGGCATCGGCTAGGATATCCTGAAATTCCTTGCGGAATTTTCATACAAGATATTTTCAAGGAGATATTAGCTGAGGAAAATCTCGACTTGAGGAAATCTCAAGTTGAGATGTTTTATACAAGTGGGGCCTGTTTCTACCACAACAAAATTGCTATTCCCTGGATGAGTTGACTTAAGTCATCATTTGAGTGTAATTGATACATATTGTATGACCTGTGTTAAAATGATGTTACGGCTGAATTCATTTCAAATCATGACAAGTAATGAATGGATTTGTTATCTACAAAACAAAGAATTGACAGAAATTCATATAAAAATCAAAACAATACAAAAACAATAGAGAAATGTATCACATTATGAGTATAGCCCAAATCTCTCAAAAAATACCGTCTTTAATTTTGAGTTGGAATGAGACTGTAATCATATATGTATATGCGTGTGTGTACTTTATACCTCGCTATATTCTGATTCAGTCAGGACCCAGGAGAGGGCTTATTAGAGGAAAGTGACATCTTAGCATCTATTTGTAACCTTACTTATCAGTAATCATTATAAATCTGGACTTAAGACCAAGCCTTAATGGCTTATAGTCTGATATATATAACATTGTTCATACCAGCATCAAGGGAGACAATCTTAAGTTAGTAATATTAGACTTACCATTGGCATAGCTGCTGTAGTCAGTGTCACTCTGACCGTTATGACTTGTGATAGGTGGCAGCACTGTCTGGTAGCCATTTTCTGGGATAGTACCATTCTGAGTTCGGTGGGAGAGCGATCTATAGTTATGTGCTGAGTGTCTTAACAAGTCACCATTCTGTTTGCTAATATTTCTTAAATACTTGCATTTTAGGTTGAACTTACACAGTGCGTGGGGTTGCGATGGTGGCCAATCGCCGTATATCAC